CCTGGGCAATTCTATATTCGTAAGGCCATAGCGCAAAAAGTTCTTTTAAATAATCAAGATATTCCTGAATTCATTATGGTGTTCTTACCTATGATGGGCCCTCTTCATGTATCATTAAATGCCTATGAACTTGTTTTTAAAAAAAACTTCTTTTTGTTTAATGATATTTACAAAAAGGTTTTTGGAAATCATAAGGATCTCAGTAAGAAACCACGGCCATAGAGAATTGATTTAATTCTCTATATCATACATTTGGCGTGGTTTGAAGTAGCCGATTTTGTTTATTTAAAATTCGGCTTTATATGTAAAAATGTAGAGTTTTTTTATTTAACTAACCTTTTTAGTAATTTAATTCTGTTAGTTTTGGACGTTTACGCAATACATCATCGAGAAGGTAACTGGCTAGCTTACGAGGAGGCTAGCATGCATTGTTGGAGCGATCTTTTTTTACAATTTGATCAAAAAAATTACAAGCGCACACCATTGATGTTCTTTTCAGATATTTTTTATTGGATAGAAACCAACCATCCAATAGTTGACATTATTATTAATCATCTTCCTTCTTTAAGTGATTGTCCTGTAGAATTATTTTATAGTATTATTAGACGGCATACCTCTAAATTTTCGACAGGAGAACAATTACAAAGTGCAGCACATAATATTTATCAACAATGCCATAATAATAATTTTCATCAACAATTTGTACGATTGGAAAAGTATCCTTATTTGCCAAAACAATTGCGGATGCTTTCCCAAAAATGCGCCATACATCTTTTAGAGATGTTTACTAAATTATACTATTTGTATAACGAAATTTCTTTTATTATTCATTCTTCTGATGATATTAACACATATAAATTATCATCATTAGGTTATGAAATAACGGATCGCCACCTTCCAAGAGGCTTCGTTACATTAAGAAAACCTAATATTTCAGCCTTATGCGATTCAATTTATTGCAATGCTTTTTATGATTCAGTTAATGGCTGTGTTCTTGCATGCAGACATGGTTACCATAGTTATTGCTTATAGAATCAGCAATTCAAATGTTTAATCTATTTGGATTATTTACAAAAGGAAGTTAGAAAAAATGCTGATGCTTTACTAAAAAATTTAACAAAAACTTTAGCTGAAAACTTACCCAAAGAAGACATTGAGAAAAATAAAGACGACGAAGATTTGGATGAAATTCAAGAAATATTTGATGATGTGACAGTTGAGCGCCAATTGGAACAAGCGAAAAAGTCATTTTTTGAAATATAAAAAAAAAAAAAAAGTATAAAAAAAATAAATAAATAAGTTAATAAAAAATAAAGTTGTAAAAAAAAAATAAATAAATAAGTTAATAAAAAATAAAGTTGTAAAAAAAAAATTTAGTAAATTATATTGCTTATTCGGGATCTTAGTTTCGCTATTTTAAAATTTGATATGAGAACGATTTGATATTGTAATATAAATTGTAGTCTAAAAATTGATCTACATTTATTGCTATTTACGGGGGTCCGTTAAAGCCAGGTGCGTTTGGTATAAACTTGGAAATGATCTACATGTTGCATAAATTATCTTCTTGATATTTACATAAACCACTAACCATTACTGCATCAAAAACGTAACCCTAACTGCATCAAAAAAGTAATTCTAATGCACCTGGCTTTAACGTTCCCCTATTTACGGAAATTGTTGACTCAGGATAACCAATCATTTTAACTGTCTCTGCTGAAAGCAGCACTACATTAGTGTGTTGATAACGAATAACTGTATCATAATAAAAAAGATGAAAACGCTTGAACAGTAATTCTATTTACTTTATATGCCAACGAAAAAAAGATGGACCGGGACAAAAGTTTTTAGACTGAAATGATAAATTCACTGATCATTTTTTTCACTATTTAAATCTTTCTTTGATTTAAATAAACCACATGTCTTGTATCTTCTTAATGACAAGCACGTTTGATCGATTAAAAATACTTTCCGTTAATTAAAATTTAGTTCCCGACACACCTCCGATACATGTTGGCTCATTTGAGAACAGAAGCAATTCATTAGCATTATACACAATTCTAATAATGCCAAATTTACATCAAGTCTGTAGGTACGTATCATATCCACATAATTGACAAGTATATCACAGAATCGACATAACTTAATTTGAAATTTAATACGTATCACGTAATCTCATAGACAGAAGTTCGTCTGATTGGCTAATAAATTCAATTTAATTTTACATTATTTATACAGTTTAGAGTACTTTTTAAAAAAACGAAAACCAACCATAATAACGTAATATAGAATGTTTCATTAGAGCTGTAGGACTCCATAGTCAAAAATAAGACCTAATTCTCGTCCGTTTAAAAAAATTAGCTTAGAAATAAGTTGATTTTATCGGGTTTTGAGAAGTTATTACTATACTAACTTTTTTAAACGGACGAGAATTAGATCTTATTTTTGTCTATGGAGTCCTACAGCTCTAATGAAACCTTCTATACAGTTTTTTTTATTTCATTGTGATTAGTTTTCGTTTTTTTAAAAGTACTCTAAACTGTATAAATAATGTAAAATTTATTAGCCAATCAGACAAACTTCTGCCTATGACACGTAATCTTGGTTTTGCAATCACAGAAAATCACTGTTCCTGCTTTGGCATTGTCCGTTATACAAACAATCCGACCTCGAAATTTGATTGGACAATGATTTGCATTTATGTTCAAATTTTTTTTTGTTCTTTTTCAACTTTATAATGTCAAAATTTAGACAAGAATTAACAGACGTAAAAGTAATACCAAATTTGAAGGGTGGCATAATATTTGGCGTAGCATTTGCAATTCGTTTCATTCTTTTCCAGTTTTCTAATATCACTGAAATATTGGGAAGTCGAGTTGAAATTGTAACGCCTGTAACAAGTTTTACCCGGTGTATGTAATTACAATAATTTGATTTAAATAAAAATTTTTAGTTAATTCATTTCTTATCTAAAAACTTTAGTAACCGAGGGTCTTTACTTATTCGGTAATGGCGTCCCACCATACGATGGCGGAGCTTTTCATCAGGTTGGTGACGTATTAATTTCTAGTTTCAGTAATTTATATGAGCCAAACATTTAAAGTTCCAATTGAACCTCTTTTAAGGCTCCATTATTCCTCGCATGCTTCCAGCTACTTAGCTACCTTCCAAACATATCAATACCGTTGACTTATATTATAACAGATTTACTCATAGCTTATCTTTTGGCAGATATAACACGAATAAAGCAATATTTATACAAAGATTTTCCACGTATAGATATAGAATTAGAAGCTGAAAAACCAAAGGAAATTGATCCATGGATAGTATCTGGATTGTATCCTTTGAAGATAATTATTATAAGAAACTTATATAGTATAATCATTTTATTCGTTCTTTCATTATTTATTTTGGAATAGATATCTCTTTAATCCATTAACAGTTGAATCATGTCTCTCTCAGTCAACTCTTTTATTCACAAATCTATCAATTGTTCTTGGAATATATTATTCTCTTATAAGTAATTAGTCATTTACAATTAAAATTAAATATTGTTATTGCGTAATTGCATTTACCAATTAATTATACCATTATATTAGATAACAAAAGTTATGGCATGTTTTGGATTGCTATGGCAACCTATTTGAGTTTTTATCCATTAATGTTAGTCATACCTGCAATATTGATGTTGACTAATAATACGAGTTTGAATGGGAAGAAAATAGGGGTATTTCATATTTTATTATCTAATGTTATCTTTGCGCATTTTGTAATTTAAATTTTATTTTTATAGAATGAAATATACAGTTGCGCGGGTTTGTACATTGGATGGTTAATGGGATTATTAATTTTATCCTATCTTTTGGTCGATTCATGGGATTTTATGCAGTCCACATATGGAGTAATGTGAGTTTACGTAACATTATTTATATTTTTATGTCATGACTTATAAACTTAGATTTGAGCTTGACTAATTTGTTACTGTTTACAGCCTTCTTTTACCCGACTTAACTCCAAATATTGGTTTATTTTGGTATTTCTTTATTGAAATGTTTGATCAGTTTCGAAGCTTCTTCCTGGTTGTATTCCAGTTACATGCGTTTATCTTTGTTGTACCGATATCTCTGAAATTCAGGTATTTTTTTTTATAAACACTCAATTTAACTTATTAACTTTCATTTACAAAATTAATTAATTATTTATTTATTCAAAGGAATCATCCATTATTTGTTGTATTCCTTTTGAGTGGCATCATGGCTGTGTTTAAATCCTATCCATCAATAGGCGATGCATCGCTTTACCTGGCTTTTCTTCCTATCTATTCAGAAATCGTAAAATGTAATTATTTCTCTATAATAATATATTTTTCCTTCTTGTTGCTGTAACATACAAACTAATTTTTTTTTGAATTGGTCTTAAACCTGATCCTCATCCATTAAACATTAAGATATGAGATATAACTACCTTACAACAAATATATTTTGTTATTGCTCAATATTATCTCCAATTTTTTATCATTTATGGATTTATGCAGGTAGTGGAAATGCAAACTTTTTTTATGCTATCACTTTGGTGTACACCATAGGAAATATAATTTTGTTAGTGGATGCCACTTATTCAATGCTCAGAAGAGAATTTGATATTTGGAATCCTGAGTTTAGACATTGTGAGATTACACAAAAATAACTTTAAAATGAGATGTATAAGACTGTTAATTATTATATTTGTCTGTCTCTTTTTCTTTTTTTTTCTTTTGGACAATACATTATAAAGTTTCTATTTAAAGCATATTTTATAATGGATCAAACATACATAGCAACGATTTTTCACATTCTAGCAATGATCATATTTAAGCGCAAATATATTAACACCTAAATGTATTCATGCTGAAAATTCATTGATAAAATAATAGCTTTTATTTAATATGCATAGATATGCACTTTTAAAAAAATTTTGATATAATAATTATAAACGAAGCATTTCTTTTCGTTTTGGATTATAAACACGATTTTTAATCTCAAGATTTAAATACTTGTGAATAATAATAGTTTGTTTAGGCTTTAACCAGAATTATATTTTGTACTTTTATTGGCTAATCTTATCTAATTCATCGGTTGTTTTGATTATGAATTCAAAATTTCAATAAGCTAATTTGATTAATCAATAAATAGAAATTTAACTCAAATCCAATTGCAGCTAGTAATAAATTAACAAAAAACCAACAACCTATAGTGACCTTCTTATAATCAACCTTTTTAGCATCATTTTTTAAAATAATCTTTATACAAGATTGAATTTATTTGTTGCAACCTGTTATGTGCCTCTTATTCGAAGCAACTATTCTATCAAAATAAATTTTTGGTTAAATGTCGCAGTCGCAAATAAATTTTAATAATACTGTATAAAAAAATAAAGATTATAACTAATTTTCACTCTAGGTGATGTCACCCGGTATTATAAATTTTTTATTACAAGTAAAATAAATTTAAGGTTAGAAATTAGGGTTGGCTTTAGGTTAGAT